TACACAAGTCAGCTACTGGCTCCAGGGCACAATGACTGCAAGGGAGAGCAGGGACCCAAGAAAGTCCATGTTGTGAAGGTGGGTCCACTCCCAAAGAAAATTATTATCCTGAGTCTCCACTACCAAGTCAATCCTGCTGCACCTTCCTCCTGCATCCACTTCTAACAGCTCAAGACTCCTTCAGAGCCACACAGAACAAGGCAGCCTGCTTGTGAGACAGGATCACAAACAGAGTTTCAGTAGTTTCTATTAAAAAAATGAAAGCTAAAATTTAGCTCTAGCATCTGTGGACTTGGACACAAACATGTTAAATATAAAATTGAGCTGTCTATAAAAGCTGCTCTGAAAAAGAAATCACTGCAGAAGATACCAGTTAATCCCCTTTCACTGCTCCACTTAAAAAGGTCTTCCTGACTAGAGGCTTGCTATCACTGCTGTCTGAGCACAGACAGCTAATTAACAAGGAGGAACTGCTCCATATTATTAGTAGCAAGATATTGATTTTACTGTTATCTTGTTCTCTGATCCAGTCTTTTGCCAGCTTCTTTTCATCTGTTGGGCACTGCCATTTTCCCAGACTGCAAGGTCTCCAGACAGCATAATTTGTTTGTGCAGTGCCTAACACAAAGGAACCATTATGCTTCACCAAATCTCAGGTGTTCATGTAATGAGAGCCCATTATAACATTGCTTTTAAGGTGGTCACAAGTTCTCATGGCATATTATGACAGTACATACACTTCACTTAAAACTCACTCAAAATTTTAAAGTAATTAAAAGTATTTAGCTTCTGTGAAAAAGAGAATAAAAAAGAGGTTTAAAACTCTTTTTCTTTCTTAAATCTGAAAGATTTTATGACCTGAAAGATCAATGAAATGTAAAGAAAATATCAAAAAGGAGATATTTTTCTCTTTTGATTCCTTTCCCCCTTTTTCCTTCATACACTATTTTTTGGTTCATATTTCTTACCCTTACTGTGCTTTTATCATGTCCCTCTGTGTCCTTGCAAAGTTTGTTTTTTCTCAGAGAGTCAACACTTTAATAAGAACACCTTTCAAGGGGAGAATTAGCTAGAAAATATTTGAAGGGAGAAAAAAAGAAAAGGGCCTGGCTCTGAATACTCAATCCTGAATGTATAAAATAGCCTTTTCTAAAAGACTATGAAGGGTTGTTAGTAAACAAACATCATTCCTTCTGCTTCCACTGCTTCATGTTTACTTACAGGAGTGATGTATTTTAAAAACACCCAGTGACAAAGAGTATTATAAGGTAAATTTAAGTTCCAACCCCGAAAATTAATTCCAGAGACATTACAGTTTCGTACTGTACATAAGTATTGATGAAGGCAAAGTTAATATAATACAGTGTAACGAGAACTTAAGTAATTTTCATACTAGGAAAGAAGTGCTCTAATGTCATTCCAGTTTATACTGAACTGCAGAGGGATATCTCCTTTGAATAAGACATATGACAGCGATGAAAAGGAGCTCAAAATCCCTGCAGTGAGAATTAAACGATATCCTCAAAATGAGTTTCCACTTGACTCTTGGCTGAGTCAACACTTGCGGCTTTTTACTATCTTCCAAAAGGCTCTTCCAAACGTACATCTTCCAGCATTTAAAGCAGTTCACATGTTTAGAAAAGAATCAAACATTTCTGGAAAGCAGCTTCTCCTTTTAGACACAAGGACCCCAAATAAAGCATATAAGCTTGACTGCTTTTAGCATAATGCATTAAAGATGAATTTTAATTAATTACTCCCTATAATAATGATGTTTTTAAAAAGGCACCTTATAAAGTTTTGAAAAGGGAAAGTATTGAACATACTTTTGAAGTTTCTCAAATTCTGGGATTTTTCTATTTATGCCAAAATATTTTTCCTTAAATACAGCTAGTAAAACTCTAATACACAATCAAATCTATTAAGCTGCACTGTAATTTTAAAAGAATTTTTATTCACTGCTAATTTCTAATCTGTTTTGAATACACATCTATGTAGCAGAAGCTAGTAATTATTTCCCTGATACAGCAGCTTTTTATACATCACACAACGTTGCAATCTGCTATCTTTTGAGAAGTGCTGCTGTCATTTTCGAAACACCTCAGTATAAATGCCTCGAAAACACAAAAGCTAAGTCAGGAGAGCAAATGTAAATTCAGATTCAGAGAAGCACTACTTATCCCAACTTTTATATTTTTCTCTGCGTACGGAACTGCCACTTCAGACAAAGGAAGATGATTACACAGTTTACTAAAGAGGACTTTTAGACATAAAAAGACACCAGGAATATAAAGCAAAAAACAGTGGTTGGTCTCATTGAAGACTGTGTGGACATCTGTCACAGGTCAAACTACCAGCCAAACCTGTCATGACCAGCAGGGAGCTATGAAGAGGAGTATGTTTTGTTTCCATTTGGCTGAACAAACATCTTGGGAATAAACAGTGCAGGAAGAATAGCATACAACTCCAAGCTGCATTGAAAAGGAAGGTATCTGGATGAGAGTAAGGATTTCTAACCCTTTGGCTCAATGGTTTCTGGGGTGAGGAAAGGTCTATCTAGTGAGTTCTTCAATTAAAAGAATGGAAATCTACAGCAAGCACACAGTGACAGTGACATTTGTCCAGTCTGAAACATAAAGGCCACAGTGCGGTGAGGTTATGCCATATGGGCAGAACCACCTTTGTATTACACACTAGAGAAGTTTTAAAATGCACTTTTCCTAGACTTTTTTGTGTAGCAGTAATTGTCAGGAAACAGACAAGACCGCCATCCTCATATTCATCTAGGAAGATGTTACAAGAATGCTACTGTCTAAAGAATTATTATAATATTAATGCATAGTTTGGTAAAAAATAAAGTCAGAAACCAATACTGGCTGTCAGATTTCAGTGAGACAGAAGTACTTTCATCTTGAAACCATACCAATCTGGTCAGCCTAGATTTTAACAACTATTTGAAATATAATTTTTTTACTCAGTACTGCTCTGGAATCTATTCCAGATGATCTGGCTACTGACCCTGCCAGCACGACAGTTCCTTGGCTCACCAGTGCCCATGGCCTTGCTCCTACTGATTGATACTCAAAACAACTCTGAAAGCTTTAGAGATAGGAAAGGTCTTGCCATTCTTATTAGTGGAGTCCAGCATGCCCTCAGAAGTTAATACTATCTTCATGCCTGATGTTGCCCAGCTTGGTGTCAGGTCTCTTGGCCTTTGAATCAGTGCCAGTACAGTTGGTGCAGTGGCTACTAAAAAGAAAGAAAACCTGAATCTGTGATCCTGCTGTCTATCCTGGTAGTCATGGGAGCGTTTCAGAGAGATTTTTAGCTGAGAAACCAAAGGGAGAGATTGCCCCTGGCCACAGCTGCACTACAACTGAGTCCTTCTGCTGCACTTTCAAAAACACATTTTCAAGAAATAAACATTGTTTTTATGAATTGTTCCAAAATAAGCAATTTGAACTCTGTCCTCCACCTAAAAAGGGTGGAAGGAAAAACAAACAAAACACTTCAGAGACACTTCTGGTAGAGGAAATGCATACACTGTGACTTGGAATGTAATGGTCTCAGACGACAGCTTCTTAATAGGTTTATATGGACTCCAAGTGGTGACTCCCCTTTCCATACATCCCACCGCCCCATTTCTTTCTAAAACTAGGGCTTATTATGTACTGACAGAAAATGAATGGGATCCAGTACTTGCTTGAAGTGTGGCATTACTGATCTGCTTTGCTAATATGGTATGCTGTCATATAATGCCTTACATATATTTATAGAAGTAACCAAGTATAGGCTACCCTTTACTTACATGACCAGTTCTCAGAAAGGTCCTTTAACAGTATGCTACATTCTTCATTGTAGTGTCTCAACTACTTCTTGCTATGAGCATTTTATATATTCAAGCTCTCCCACTTATGCAGTTTTTGGTATTTTCTGTACTTCTTATGACTGTCAGGAAAAGGGTAGTCACTGGGGACACACTAGTGACCACACTAAATTAGGAATCAGTTGTTCAGCTCTTAAGAGTAATGTGACATCCTCTTTCTAAAATAGCATGAAGATTTTCTTTCATGCACATTCTGGTCCCTTTTTCTATTCAAAGCATATTTCAAGAAAAGCCTGCCTGAGGAAACAAACTAAAGCCATCAATAGAAAAACCACCACAGAAACTTATTGGAGGGCAATAAAAATTTAATAGCTTTTTAAAGAGCTCTCAAACTTAACAATAAAAGCCAATTAAAATTGTCTACACTGATTTAATTTGTAACAATTCCATTTCAAACAAACCATGCTTGGTTGTTGGTTAGGCGCTCAAAGAGAAAAATGACACTTTCCTCCTCTACCAATATACACTTCTCCCACCTCAAACACTTGGCAGAGGCACAGGGAGGAGCTGACCACCCCTATTTGATGTGGTGGTTGTATGATGAGGTGAGTTGAGGAGAAATGTGCTCCAAAATGGAAGAGCCCTCATAAAGAACTCTTTTGGCAGATACTGCCCTGGCAACCAAGCCTCTAAGCACAACATCCTTGACCATTATTCCTATGCTGTTCATACCAGACTTTCTCAGAAAAAGAGATGCATCTTAAGATGCCTATTGTCAAATGGGAAACTTCAGTGAGTTTCAGATGCTGCTAAAAAAAAAAAAAAAGAATCGACAATACAATAAGCATAAATGGAGCGTGCTTATGAGAAAATACTCAAATTTTACCTCATATCCCCCAAATCATTCCCTTCTTTCCTCACCAGTTTTATTTTCCAAACAGGTGTAAAGGCATAATGCAGCAGCTCTTGAGAGAAAACAGAAATGTATCAAGAATGGAAATATACTTTTCCAGTATATTATGGAACAAACACAAACTCTTTACTCAAATGAGCTGAAGTTCTAAGTTTCACATGCAAAATGCCACTAAAGTCAATGGACCTACACATATGAAACTGAAATGTGAGCAAGTGCTCACTAACACAAAGGTTTACAATCTTCCACTTGATGACTTACCTTGAGGTTGCAATTTCCACTTTGGTTCTTGCCATGGCAGCTGCTCGCTGTGCACCCTCTATTGCTCTATCCACCTTTTCTCTAGTTTTTGTGTTTCGTATTGGTATAAGTTGCTTTCTTATTCCACGGACCAAAATGTTATTTTTGTACTTTCCCTCTTCTTTGGTGCCATCTGGAAACATGGTACATCCATATCCATGCCTCCTGTTATTCAGCCACTCTCCTTCGTATTTCATACCATTTGAACGCTCACTGATACCAAAACCGCTGCGCTTATCATTCTTCCATTCACCCATATAGGCTTCCGTAGTGGTAGCATCAACATGGTCTTCCAGAGGGCTATAATCACAGTCACCATCTCCAAAACTAATCGTAGAGTTGGCATCACTAGAACTAATTCTGCTCATTGCAGCATCGCTCCTGACAGAGCTCCGTTTGCTAGATATCGATGACCTAGATTCCGATTTTCTAAGTTTTATACTACCAAGAAGGGATCCTCTTCTGAATAAGCCTCCTTTTTTCTTAATGCCCATGGCTTCCGCATCACTGTGAAAATTGAGCACAAATCCTCCTCTTGTTCCAGCTGGACTGTCTGAAGTGACGTCATGCAGAACAGTGCCATTGCTCTGCTCACTTCGAAGTGACGCCAGAGATGTTCGGAGAGGTGAACGGATCACGGTGGCCATGCCATAGGGTACACTCTGACGTACACCGTATCCATGTCTCATCCCTCCTGTCCACTGCCCCTGGTAGGTACCTTTTAAAGTAATAAGAAGTTAAATTTAGGAAGCTGTAGAAGACCTAGCTCTCTCCATCCAACACGCTACAGGCAACACTACATTGTCAGCTCTGATTTCAGTAAGAAGAGATGCACACGACACAGACAGATAAACTACTTTCGTTACTTGTTTTTTTTATAAATTATTTTTCCACTTAGCAAATCCTTCACTTTCACAGCTGATTTATTTTGGCAACTGAGGCACAGTAACTATAAACACATAAGCATTTTTTTAATGGATCTGTCCACAGGAAAAAAAAATTGATAGAGATTTCTAAAGCAGGACTCCCTCAACGTGTTTTTAGGGCGGACCAATAGGAAGGTGGCCAGCAGAAACAGGGACACATTCTATACAGTCAGCTGAGGAGGGAGAGAGGGCTGGAGAGAAGGGAGAGAGTAGGACACTTACAGCTCTTGTGCCAAGCTGCTCACAGAAAGAGCAAATAGGAGGAGTAACCATTCTGTTTTTGTGGGTTTAAGGTGACTACAGACCTCTCCTCCTCAGGAGCTACTTGACAATGCCCTCGATTGCCTTCAGATGGCCTTTTGGATCCACTGTTATAAACCTCAATTGTAAAATTAAATCTTTTAATTTTTTTGCATGGATTTGAATGAAAGGACAAAACTTCAGGACTCCTTTCTCTTTATGAACTCTTCACACTAACACTTTCTGGTATCCCCAGTACATAAACTTGCACTGCATTCTGTGTTATGTTGTCACAGAGGGATCAAAAGCATGAATTCTTTAGCCCTTTTTTTTTTGCTTTTCATTTGTTCTGCAGTATGTAGGAAAGGCAAGACACTAACACAATATTGCACAACATTCTAGCAAACATTTAATCATAACTACTCTTGTAAAAATTTTAAACAGCAATGCAAGGAGGAAGTAAGGGATTCAAGATGAAAAGTCACGGGTGTCCATGCAAAGCTACACTGGAGTCAAACCCCACCTTCATCAGATTACCATAGCAATTTTTTTTTCTTGTATTCTCAAAAGGCATTATAATTCTGATACTTGCCAGCGTCTGCTCTCTGAAGGCCTTTTCTACCAGAGGCTCCAAAGGAAGGTGGCATGAATGCCATAACTAGCAAATAGAAGATAACGTGTTTTCTGATTTAATTTCACTCTAATTCCTATTAAACTACTTTAAGCTCCTCAAAATGAAGTAGCTCACCCACCTAGTGCTGGTTTTTTGGTTTTTTTTTAAGCTACTTTTGAGTATTTTCACAGAGGGATGAATAAGCAATCTTTAATATTTTAAAAATTTTGATCTACTACAATTGGAACACCTATTAACTATTTAGGGGACTAAGTATCGAATGTCAAATTCAGTGATTGATAAAGTTTCTGTGAAAATATTTGTGACATATCTGCAGTTGAAGATGTAGAACCAAGATTCATTTGCTTTGAGATTCAATCTCTTCCATATATACATATTGTTTTGGCTTTTTACATGGCCACCATCTATCAAGTACTGCCTTAATCTTTACTGCTTCTGCTAACTTTCATTTCAGTGTTAACACACAATTAAATTTGCTAAATCTGTTTTCTTTATTATATAATACTAGATAGGATCCAAAACATAACTGTTGTGTGTTGGTAGAGAATTCTACCAAGTGCAAGGTTTTTGTTTTAACAGATGGCTGCTGACACAAACAAACAACTTTCTTAGTTTCTTTCTCATTCTCTGTATCCTGGATACCTACTGCTGTACTGGTTGTAAGGGTGCCGAATCTAGGAACATGATTATTTTAAAAAACTCAGCATATGGGGAAGAACAAATAGAAACATGAGCACAAAGCACTGGTATGACATGTTCTGTAAATACTGCAAATACACAGGCACATTCTAATCTTTTTTTTTGTTTTGTTTTGTTTCATTAAACAGAAAATTCCCGGAAACACATTAATATTTTATGAGCATAAATTACTTCATTTTGTCCCTAATTATTTCTGGGATCTGTAATGATATGGTGGAACTAAGAATCTGGCTACATACACTTATTGCTACATATTGTAACTCCCTTAATGTTCTGCACTAGTTAATTTAATTTTGAAATAATAAATCTAAGTCTAATTTTGATTATACCACAATATTACATTAGAGAAGCATCTCATAATTATGGCTCTCCATGCTGCTTACAATGTCAGACTTTAAGCACAATCAACTTATTTCAGTACAGAATTTTAAAGAAGTAAAAAGGGCCAACCTTTTTTTCTTACTAATATTTTAATTAATAAATGCTTTTAATGGAAAGCTAAAGAATACTTAATTGATGTGGGACTTGCACTTTTCACTACTCTAGAAAGAAGGGAAGTGGTTGCTGCTGCCCATAAAGGCATTAAAATAAGAACAATTAATATGCTGCTATCCACTAGTCCAATTTTCCATTCTATTGGGTAAAAAAAAGTCAATGTCAGCTTCTTCTGAAGAGAAAATAGTAAAAAAGAAAATGGAAGATTCATACTCATCTTGTCCTTAAAAAGTATGAGATATTTAGGTTGAATTTTATGCAGTGTAGCAGGTAACTATTATCACTTCTATCATTACAAATCCATCAGTGGAAAGGCTTCTGATACTAATGCTAAAAAGCCATCTCATTTTCCTTGGTTTTTCAACTCACATATTAAAGGAGAAGTATTTTAATAGCACATGGAGAGCAGTGTCCAGAACGTAGATACAAGAACCTTGTATAGTAATTTGACTGACTAGATCAGACTTTAACTGCATCACCTTCTTCAATAAATTTTAGAAACCTTTAAACAAGACAAGGTATGCTAATATTGCTATATAATTAAATACAACGATGTATAAGACATGGTGAAAAAGCTTTTCCCATATATGAAGATGAAAACATATGCAGTATTTACCCATCTCTTTAGACAGAGATGAATATGAACGATACATCAACAAACACACCACATTCTGTTTCACCTTATACCACAGCTGACTGCTCAAATCAGTTGCTCTAAGGGTCGATTATTAAAGTTCTAATTAACACTGTGATGGGCAACATAATTTAAAATTGTATTTGACCATAAAATACTAACCTTCTTGCACACTAAGTTTTCAAAAGCTAGGCTTGCTATCCTTTGCAACTGAAGAAGCATTCAGCCACACTACTGACCATCCATCTGGTGTTTAATTTGCTCTCATGAAAAGGTGTTCATATTTTGAGCCCAAGAGCTATTACAAAGTATATTTTTTTTCCTTTTCTTTTTGTTGGCAAGTTGCTGTAAGATATAATTTCATAATCTGTTTCCTTAGTTACAGTGTTCCATTCCTTCTAAAACACCCTTGGTGCATCTTACAGCTGTAAATGTCATTGCCCACTTGCAGCTAAAATTTAAAACTACACTGTGAAAAAAAACTGAGAGGCCAAGGACCCATTTAACTACTCCACTGTCTCTTATCCTTTACTTGGATATTCTGTGGTTTAAAAAAAATTTGTTGTTACATCACTGACACAAATGTTAAATAAGCGCAGACCTGGGAAGAAGAAATCTCAGAAATCAATGAACATATGTGACCTTTGCTCAGGGTGATTTTGCCCCTGATCTCCCTCTGTGAAATGACAAAATGCAATTGGTTTTTGCAGTTGTTGGAAGGACCATAAATAACCAATTCAGACATACTGAAGTTTCGTATTATGCCACAGTCCTTCCTCCAGTAGGTTTTGCATCTTCACACAGATTAACAAAACATAGGGAGTTTAAAGGATGCACAAAAATCCAGATTGCTGCAGGGGATAAGATTGATGGGCCACTTGAAGGCCCACTGTAATCACACGCAACGAATGAAGTCTCACGGTTTATAATTCAGTGTTTTCCTCAGAGATTTGACTGAGTGACAATTTTAAGCATCTAAACACAGCATGACATACATTACTCATATCATGAAGAGTTTTGTGTGCAAAAACTGAGGAATACTGTCAATGCTTATTTTCCTTTTCCCTCCTCAATGATATCTCGTAATACCACAAATACACTTTAAAGCAACGTATGAAGATATACTAAAAACAAACAAACAAAAATCTAGCAGCAAAGAGGCCTGGATTATAGCAAGTTTGAAAATAAACTGGCAATTGACATAGCCTAAAGAGTTATTTCTCTACACTGGTATTCTCCAATATTCATGAAGAGAGAGCTTTACTGCAACTGTTTTAAATTATGTTAAAGATACATGTGAAAATCTGGTTTCCTTATAAACCCATTTCAGATGTTGTTCTGGTGTGCAAATACATCTATTGTTCCCAGAGCATGAAAACAAAAACACATCTGCAAATATCTATGACGTACTGCTCTGCTTCATTCATGAGTACTTTCATTAAAATCAATGGGACTTCACAGCCTCTGTTAGTATGAACTGCAACATGCAAAAGACTGGAGTCATGACAACAGATTTCAGCTAACAGTGTGAACTGGAACCTTCATACGCTGTTCCAAGTCTAAATACTGAGAGAATTTACCTCTAATAACCAGTACTATATTCAGTGTTTTAAAAAAGCCCCAAGAAGCCTAAAGAGAAAAGGATAAAAACAACTTTGAGAAAATAATTTCTGGAAGATTTTCTGGAATGGTAATTTACTTTTCCAGAAGGGGAGGGAAGAGAAAAAAAAAATAAAAAAAAGGTACTGCCTGTAATTAGCCAAAACAAATATAATAACAATTGAAAAGTACATTGTATGATGAAAGTGAAATAGTGAAACTGAAATTTTGATCTCTTTCATACTTTGATTTTGGTAGTGTTGTCTTTTTTTTTTTCTGTTGAATCCACAAACACATAGCTGCCTTTGAATGTCAGAGCTTTTCATACCAAGAAACAATTTTTGGACAGCTACAAATATCTCTAAACAAGGGAATAGAAAGGTACAAAACCCACTGCGCATTTCATTGTCTGAAGGAACTGAATCTTACCAAGTTGCTACATTTTATATTTCCAAAAAGAAAAAAGAGGAGCCCAGCTACAACTATCTCATGTTCTGCTTAATACAAAAATG